CATATTCATGGAAAACGTACTCCATGGCACTTAACAACAAGGATGACAATGGCTTCGATGACTTCCTGTCTGACTCCACCCCCCAAAAAGGACATCTTTGGAGACCCACTAAGGGGACAGGAGCCCAGGAAAGGAGGGTAGAGGGAAAGTGCCAAGCCCCCACCCTTCCCCTCCCTGCCGATGGGGTACAGTAAGGGTAGGGTTTGGGATGACTCTCTCTCCTGGACCGTCATGTCCCTTTGTCAGTGCCTCAGGGCCAGAAATGCAAAAAGAGAACTGGGGAGGAGGATTGTGGGTGAAAGGAGGATGCCTGGCGACTAGACAGAGGTGTCCTGGTGTGCTGGAGGGGAGCAGATGGGTGGAACTTATTGGGCGAGTGTTTGTGAGAATGTATGTGGGAAACACACCTGCAAAGCTCCTTCAGCTGGGGACCACTCACGTGCACGCCTGAGGTGGGAGAGGGAGCACCTGTTGAATGCAGTGCCTGCCCTTGCTCAGGTCTGAGCAGTTCCACTTTATGGAGGAGGAAACTGAGGCTCACAGGAGCCACATGATGTGGAGTTATAAGTGAGGACTCTTCCTGCTATGAATATATATTTTAAAAGAAAAAACAAACAAACAAAAAAACCCTCCAGTTTGGTTTCGATGATGAGAAAATTAATCGGTGGTCACAAATGGAAGTCCAGAGGCAGGGCTGGAAGTGTGCTGCCCCCTGGGAAGCTGCAGAGGTTTCCAGGATCAGCAAATAATGAGTACTGTTTACTGAGCACCACTAGGACATAGGACGATGTTTCTGCTGCCCCACCCGCTGGGATACCACCAGTCCCTGCCCACAACACTCACTCCCTTCCGTCCTTGTCATCTGCAGCCACAACCAAAGCACCTTTTGTGTGTTCTGGGTCCAGGATCCGTGTCCTTGCTAGAAAACCGCCTACAGAAATGATTTTCAACTCGAGAGAGGAACATACTGTAATTTCAATTGACGGGAGTGGAAAGATGAAAGTTAAGAGTCTTTTTCCCAGTTACTTAATAGTTTTGAGATTTGGGGGAAGGTCCCAAATGTCCCTGGATCTTGTCCCGCTCATCTGAAAGATGCATATTCGGCTTTCATCAGACTCTTCATCATGTTGTCTGGTAATAATCATATGGCGTAGGATTTGATGAGCACATCTTTTGAAATCGCTGACGCTGAGATCCTAGAGTTCTAACCATAAGACAAGGATTACAGCTTCCATTTCTTGCATGCCTGTCCTATGCAAAATATCACACCTGCTATTTAACTTAGCAAGTTGCATCATCTCCGGGATGTGCAATTAATATACTCCCCATCCTGCAGATGGGGAAACTGAGGTTCAAAAGGGCTAGGAAATGCTCAAGAGTACATAGCCAGTTGGCAGCAGAGCTGGGTTTTGAACTCAGATCTTGCTGATGCTCAACTGAGCAAGATGGCCCAGCACATGGTCCGGGATGCAGCAGTGGGCCTCGGAGAATGTCCATTTTCTCCCTGTCATGTTAGGTTCGAAGCTAGATGGACCACCTGATCTTTCCTGTCAACTCTTGTGCTGGGGTTTCACACCTTATTTCCTCCCCTCCAAGATTGCACGAGCAAGCCGGTGGCGAGTATTTAACCGGACCTTTGAAAAGCCACTACTACCTCTGGGTCATGAAGTAGCAGCTGCTGGACTTCTTCTTCCCCCTCCTCCCATTCACCAGGAGCTCATACCCCAGACCAAACCCCCCAACTCCAAACTTACTGACATCAAGGCAATGCTGACTCATAGCGACCCTCTAGGACAGGGTAGAACTGCCCCTGTGAGTTTCTGAGACTGTCACTCTTCAAGGAAGTAGAAAGTCCTATTTTTCTTCTGAAGAGTGGCTGGTGGTTTCAAACCGCTGACCTAGCAGTTAGCAGTCCAATACACAACACCAGGGCTCCTCCTCCCAGCCAATAGATAGAAAATGATAGGGAACTTGGAGGATGCAGTCGCCTCTCTGCCCCACTCCTGCGTGCTTTGGGGAGCGGGACCCTGAGGTTGGTGTGAGAGGAAGCCAGGAGTAGTGGGCAGGAGGATGTGCCAAGGGTAGGGTGTCCGGGAGGAAAGAAACTCCTCCTAGTCTTGCATCCTGTGTGGGAAGGGCTGTCAAGTGCTGAGCTGATGTGGAGTGCAGAGAATGGGAAGAGAGCGTGCATGGGTGAATCTTTTAGGCTCATATATTAAGGAGTCTGGCAGGCTGGGTTTCTGGAATGGAGGGGGACCCGCACCCTGGTGAGTTGGAGGTGAGTCCCAGTCACATTCTCATCATTAATATTGTTCCCCATGATATCCTCCCCTGATAGTGCCACCTTAAAATTACCTCTTACAGGCACACGACTGATTGCTGGGTAGCCGGCAGCTTTATCTATAGGAGCAGACATGTGCTATTGCTCTCGAGGCTCTAAGGACAGCCACTGCCCCTTTACCTGCCTGGGCATTGCTATTAAGCTACTCCTCCAATATACTCAGGGACCTTTAGGGTTAGGGTACAGCCCACTTTGTTACATATGTGGTTACCTGTAATTAGAGGGGCTTTCCTTCCCCCTCTGAGTGCTTATAAGCCTTGGTTGGAAATGTGTTCTCTCTCTTTGTCCAGACCTGGCTCCTGAAGTCATGGCGGTCCTGGAGGTGAGCCCTTGCATACCTTATCTTGTCTGATGTCTCTTTAATTTTACCCCTCAATGACACAACCGCCCCTTGGACCATTCGATTGTGGAGGCTGGTACCCAACAAGATAGAGACACAGCACATCCACCCCAAGCTCACATCTGGGAAGGGGGTCAGCTCCTCATCCATTCCACACACATTCTGGCGTAAGCAGTAGAATCGCCATGAGTAGGAGCTCACTCTGTCATCTACACACACACAGCAACAGGTGGTTGTAAATTAATTTTTGCAGGCGTTGGGGTTGGGCTGTGTGCATGAGATAGTTAATGTTTATTGTGCCAACCTGGCTGATGAACACATGTGGGATTAATTGAAGGGTGGAGAGATAAATGGCCCAGTGAGCCTCGCCTTTCTCGTCTCTTGCTTTTTGATCATCGGACCAGTGTGCGGCTACCTGGCTTGTTCTGTGCCTCCATTTGCAAGCTACACTACCTGTGGGACACCTAACCAATGGACTGTGTTGCTGTAATTTGGGGTTCCTTCAAGATCTGCTTTACCTAAGGTGACCAGATTTTAACATTGGTAAAGCGGGACAAAAGCGGGACAAAAGCGGGACACCATTGATAAAACTCATATCCTGGCGAAATAGCCACATGGCAGCCGAAAACCGTATACCCTAGCTTGTTGTGCCTTCTTTCCAAAAATCGGGACTTTTAAAAAATGCCGCAGGACGTGGGAAAAATTGTTCAAAAGCGGGACATCTGGTCACCTTAGCTTTACCACATTATTGGAATATACATCTCTTGAGCTGGGGACTGTCGGACCCTATCATCTGGCTGACTGCCGGTGACCTACCTGCTTTGCTGTTTGCTGCCTGTGGCTAGATAGCCTGAATTGTTCTACAGAGGACTACCTGGCAGCCCTCAAGACTTGAAGGACTGCCAGTGTCTCACAGCTGTCTCACGGGTGTGAGTTGCCCTGAGCCATTTGTACTGCTTTATAGATGAATTAACTGTTTATTTCTTATGTTATATATCTATCTACATAACTATATCTATAAAATGATTAACGTTCTGCTTTTGTTTATCTAGAAAAACCTGTCTAACATAGTGCAAGAGAGCCAGATCTCCATGTCCTTTCAAAGCTGACATTCCAGGGTGGCAACAGAGCACGTGCCAGCAAAGGGGTAAACTTAATATCTACCAGTTGAAAGGCATGCATGAGAAAATGAAATAAGGCAGGGGCTTAGGAGGAGGTCATGTGAGAAGAGGCCACAGCCTTAAACAGGGTGCTCAAGGAAGACCTTTCAAACAAAGTGAAATTCAAGGAACCACAGAGAAGAGTGAGGGAGAGAAATGTTAGGGCAGTGGTTCTCAAACTTCCTAATGCCGCGACCCTTTCATACAGTTCCTTATGTGGTGGTGACCCCCGACTATAAAATTATTTTCATTGCTATTTCATAACTGCCATTTTGCTACTGTTATGAATTGGGCGACCCCTGTGCAAGGGTCGTTCGATCCCCAAAGGGGTCACGACCCACAGGTTAGGAACCGATGTGCTAGGGGATATGGTCAGAGAGCAAACACAGAGTAGCAGTATTCTCATTAATTCAGAACGTGCGCATTGAGCAGCTCCAATGTACCTGGAGCTTAGTCCTGGGGGCTGAGAACTATAGCAACGAAAGAGATTCCATGCCCTCGTGGAGATGAGGCTTTAGCACAGGGAGCCAGACAATGAAAAGAAACAAGATGACAGAAAAGAGAATTTCGGAGAGTTGAAGCGCTGTGAACACTCTACAGCACTAAAGTTAGATGGTGGGGACTGCTCTAGGTGGGGCTCCCAGAGGCTCAGACTGAGGCAGGAGACCAGACAGAGAGCAGGTGGTCCAGGCAGAGGGAATAGT